ATGCTCACGTGAAAGTGCGTTGTGTGCTAGAGAGATGGAAGAGATGAACGTTTGACTATCTGGAGTCAAAGCCAGTCTTCTGAGGTGGCCGCCTTTGATTTTTGTCCTTGAATTCAGTGCTATTTTATGTTTCTGCTAGTAAGCATGTTGTTCCTGTTTGTGTGGTGAGTGATAAAAGCCTTATTCCAAATAATGATAATAAACACTGTTGATTCGGCACGTACTGTCTTGCTAGGTCTTGTGGTGTTTACTTTATTTCCATTATCTTCTTTTAATTCTCACGCAAGGCTGTGTCTTTCCTCATTCCACTGTTGATGAAACTGACCTTGGGAAGGCTGTGGCGGAGGGGCCACAGTTCACCTTAGGGTTTCTCTGAGTCCGAAGCCCACGTTTGGGACCGTTGCTGACCGCTTCTGGACAGATGCAGGAAGTGCCCGTGCCCTTCAAGGCGGTGCCGCGTTCTGGGAAGTGAGCGAGGAAAACCAGCTCCTGAGCCGTGATAGGGGTGGCAGGAGGTGGGAGCACAAAGGTCCTCCTTCTTTTAGAAACTGTTCTTATTTTTCACACAATTCTAACAAGCTCGATAGTTTGGTTCTAAGCCTAAGAAGCAGCAGATGAAGAAGAGGGTAAACACAGACCACAGGCACTGACAGTAGAAAGAAGTAGGTGCAAGACTCCTTCCAGTTCAAATGTTCAGCTGCTGTGACAGTAACCAAGGAGACGGATTAAAATTTTTTTTAAAGATTTTACCCATTTATTTCCAGAGAAAAGGAGGGAGGGAAACATCAGTGTGTGGTTGTGTCTCATGCACCTCCAACTGGGGACCCAGCCCACAACCCAGGCATGTGCCCCGACTGGGAGTCGAATTGGCGACCCTTTGGTTCGAAGGCCAGTTCTCAATCCACTGAGCCACACCAGCCAGAGTGACAGATTAAATATAAAAGTCAGAACAAGAACATCAAAACAGCATACCAGTCTGGGGTCATTTGGTAAAAGTACACTTGATAACCTCAAGCCACGAAGAAACATTTTAAGTAGGTTAAACTAAGTGAAATTTTATTGCTGTTCTTTTAAGAAAATAGCTAATGCATTTTAGAAAGGTTTCATCCAAAATAATAAAGATAACATTTTAAGTGTTAAAGTGAGCCTTTACGGAAAACTCGGTCATCTAAAATGGTGTTTCTGGGTAGCCAAGGAGGACAGTGAGTAGGCAGGTCTCAGACCCCACGGTCACTTGCTCTGAGTGAGTGTTGTCCCAGATCAGCTCCGCTGTTCCCGTCTGTTCTGCTCTCTCCACTTACTGCTGCCTAAGAAGCACCTTCACCCACTCACTCTGTGAGTTTCGCTGGCAGCAGCGCAGTTGTTCGTTAGAGCACCTGCTGTGTGGCTGGGGCCCTGCCAGGCCCTGGGAGTACAATGGTGTCTGAAAGAGGCAGTCCTGCCCGTAAGTGGCTTGTGGGTAACTGGGGAGAGAGACACAGAAACAGGTGTCGAGAATCAAGTTCGGCACGGGCTGCTATAGGACTGCGCAGCAGGGGCAGAGAACCTTTCTGTGTGTGGCGGGGGTGGGGTGGGGGGAGTCTAATGGGAGGGCCAGGGGACTTCCCAGGGGAAAAGATGACAGGCTGCCATCTTAAGTAGGGAAGAATATCCCAAGCAGCAGGAATAACATGTGAGAAAGTCCAGAGGCCAGAGAACAATGTGCAATTGGGAAACTTGCAGACACACTAAGATTTTTTTTGACCCACACACAGAGTGTGAGCCCGGGGACAGAGGGGTCATCCTGATGGGAGAGGCGAAGGGAAGCAGCACAGACAGGGCAAGGCCAGTGTCACACGTGAGAGAGTCTGGACTTCACCCTGAGCGGCAGCCGGGGATCTTGGAGGGCTTTAGGCAGGGCCCCTGCATACTTCTCCCGCTCCTGTTGCTTTCTGATCTCTGTATCACCGGTCCTATGGGATTCTTTGTTGCTACAAAGGCCAAGGTCAGTCATTCTTGCCTTAGGCCTCTGCCCTTTTCTCACTTCTGCCTGGAATGTACTGCAAAGACTGTCCTGGTTGCAGTGTGCCAATCCAGTGAGAGTAAGGTGAGCCTGGAAATGGGGAAGGACTAGGAGGCCGGGGCAGCACATCAAAGAGGGAGGAGAGGTGGTGATCTAAACTGGGGAAGTGGCAGTTTGGAAAGAGAGACAAGGACAGATGTCTGCAGAATTTCAGGAGGCACAATTGACAGTGTCTGGCGAGTGATTAAGTCGGACAGCAAGGATGATACCTCAGGCCTTCGATACTCGAAAGGACAGAGCAGCAACGCAGTGTGATCGGGTTGCCAGTGGTCGATCCGCCTCGCGGTGTGTGTTGGGACGTCACTGCCCCCGTGGAACACGAGCTGCCTGGATCTGCTCCCCGAACTGTCGTGAATAAAGCTGATCGATTCCAGCTGTATTAATGCAACCCATGGCCTTGTTTATGTCTAATCTTAACGTTTATGATTCTGTGCCTTGGGCCCTCTCTAAACCGATACCTAATAGCGTGCTCACTAGTTAGCACGAAGGAATAAATGAGAAAAAAGCCAAGATAAATGACCAAGATGATCATGATCAAGTAGTTCTCATTAAAAACTTTTAAGTGCGTGGTTTGCATTTCCATATGCAAGGCCCCTTTAACAAACTTGGCTTATACGCTATGCTCCCGACTAGAGATGCTTAACTCACTGCGTTTGTTTAAATTCTGAAACCCAGCCATTCCCAAGCCAGGCCCCCCGAACACTGGGCTCCTACTGCCTAGAGTTTTTCTGTTTACATTTGCTACTATAGAGACTTGGTTTGTTTCCGAAAAATGCATTTTAGCATTTGTGTGGTGAGCCACATTTGTTATATTTGAACCACATGTGACGTAAGGGAGACGGGTAACCAGTTGGCTGAGAGGGGGCAGGGTGACTCTGGGTTAGCAGAGGGGTACTTCCTGCCCATTTAAAATGAGCTAGTTAGATGCAGATGGTGGCAGGAACTAAAAGTGTGGATGTGTGCATACACACATATACACGTGTATATACATGTACATGTGTACACATATGCATGTGTATATGTGTGTATGTCAAAAGACTAATGTGAATATAAAGCTTTTATATTATATTGGACTGTGCTGTTTCCCAGCCTTAATCATAAGGGTCTATATGGCTTACTTTGATGTTGAATAACAGTAACTCTTAACTGACCTGGAAGTACCCCTAGGACCGTGCCTCATTCATGTCTTATTATACCTTCAGTTGTATAAGCTGTGAGGAGCCAAGCAGAGGAAAGAGGGAACTGGCTTCATCTGCTGGTAGAGTGATTCATAAATTAATAACAGAGACGGGAAGCTAAGGTCCAGAGAGGTTGTTTGTCCATGGGCCAAAATAAATTCATTCCTTCATTCAATAAGCTTATATTTAGTATGTGTTATATAGCTATATCAGTTCGCTCTTTCGGTATAACACATTACCCTAAAATGCGGTGACTTACAACAGCATACATTTACTGCCTCACACTCTCTGTGGGTCAGGAGATCTGCATGTTGCCTATCTGGGTCCTCTGCTTCAAGGTCTCTCGTAAGGCTGCAGTCAAGGTGTCTGCCAGGTCTGGGGTCACATCTGAAGGCTCCGCTAGGGAAGGATCGACTTCAAGCGTACGTAATGATCAGTAGGACTCGGTCTCGCAGAAGCTTCAAGTCTCGGTTCCTTGCGGGCTGTTGGCCGAAGGCCGTCCTCAGTTCCTCTCTCACATGACGTATTCCTTCATCAAACTGTATAAGCCAAGAAGGCAACAGAGAGAATCTGTTATCAGCAAAGCAGAAGTCACCGTCTCTTGGAACCGAGTCACAGAAGTGGCATTCCGTTAACTTTGCCCCATTCTGTTGGTCAAAAGCAAGTTACTACTCCAGCCCCCGCTCGAGGGGAGGGGATCACACAAGGGCACAACCGCCAGGCGGTGGGGATCACTGAGGGCCATCTCTGAACGCTGTCTGTCACAGTTGGTACTTGCTCAGGTTTCCGTATTCCCAGATACAGCCTTGTATGCCAGATCAAAACGTCTGACTGTGTGATTGTGAAACACTAGTACGTTTACTATGATCGGTCAAAAAAATGCCCCCCCCCCCCGCCCCGCCACACACACCCCAAAAACTATGTCTCTGTAATGCCTCTGTAATCCCTTGGGGGTGTAATTAAGTTAAGGATTCTGAGATGCAGAGATTACCCTGAATTATGCGGGTGAGGCCCAGTGTAACCACACAGGTCCTCACAACAGAGAGGCGGAGGAGCCGAGTAGGAGAAGGTGGTGTGGCAGTGGAAGCAGAGGCTGGAGCGGTGCAGCCACGAGCCAAGGAGTAGGGGCAGCTTCTAGGAGATGGAAGAGGCAAGGAATGGAGGCTCTCCCTTGGAGCCTCCAGAAGGAAAAACAGCTGTCACCTTACTTTTAGATCCATGAGATCCATTTAGTACCTCTGACCTCCTGAACTGTATGTAAGACAGTGAGTTTCTGCTGTCTTTGCCTCTAGGGATTTGTTCTAGCTGCAACAGGAAACTAACACACTTACCAAAAGGCCTCGGGGAACCCGCTGCAGAGTTTTTTAAGGAACAAGGGGAGGCACGAAGGGTACAGTGACGGGCTTCCCAGACATTCCCCGGCCCTCTAGTGACTCTGAAACAATGTACACATCCTAGCTTCTATTTTTAGGGAAGTATTCCTGGCTCTCTTTGATACAAAATTCTATCAATAGTGAACAGGTGAAAAATTTCTCAGGGTTAGTAATATGGGCCTCACCTACTCTTCAAAGTAAAACAAAAACATGGCATTGAGCAGAGGACACCACGGCTTCCATTTTTAAAGCTTGTTGTTTGTTATGTATTTGTGCCTAGGGAGTGGAAAGATTGACAGATGACAGCACCTGGCACAACGCGCTTTTCCTCCTTGGTGTTTCACAGCCAGATGTTGTGAAATCCTTCTGTTTTTCTTTCTTCTCCAGTGCCTGGAAACCTCGGCTGCTACAAGGATCATGGAAACCCACCTCCTCTAACTGGCGCCAGTAAGACATCGAACAAACTCACCATACAAACCTGCATCAGTTTTTGTCGAAGCCAGAGGTTCAAGGTAATTGTCCTGGGGCTGTGTATCTGTAGAAATAGATAAAGATGTAAATGCATTCTGCTGAGATAACTTAAAAATACATGTGCGTTTTTTGAAACACAACCTGTGAAGCCATACAACTTCAGTTTTCTGCCAAGGAGAAGTTGGAGGAAGGGTGGGGCTTAGGATTCAGGAGACTGAAGGAAAAGGACCCTGGGGAACATCCCAGTATCTGCATCACTGTTTGACTTCCGACAGAGTCACATGCTTCCTCGTGCCCTTGTATTTATGAGCAGGGACCCTCTGGCCCTGCAGGAGCCCTGGGAGTCAGCCAAGGAGGTTATTACTTCCCTGACACATGTGGGGGCCCAGCCTAGACACCAGTTCAAAATGTTCTCTTTCCTTCCTATCCATTCCTCTATCTGAAATCCATTCTTTGGCCATTAAAATTCAATAATGCTATTGTTTATTATATCAAAAAAGAAGTAAACTAACTTGTTGCCTTCCCTTCCATTTTTCCTTCCTTCCTTCCTTCCTTCCTTCCTTCCTTCCTTCCTTCCTTCCTTCCTTCCTTCCTCCCTCCTTCTGCCCCTCCCTCTCCCTCCCTCCCTCCCTCTTCTTTCCTTCTCTCCCTCCCTTCTTTTCTCCCTTCCCTCCTTACTAATTCAGTCGAAAGTCCATTAATCAGGCCGAAGCAAGAAGAATAACCTGGCGGAGTTCAGGGCCTATGTCAGAAAGGTGACTGAGCAAGACAATTGACCCAACGTGATCTCACGATTAGTTCCTTGCAAAGGATTGATCTTCTAATATATTGAGTGTAACAGGGGCCATGTTTGTCACTGTTGAAGAAAGGAGCCAGGGAAAGCTGGGACGAAGCATATAATGTTGGACAGGGATTGAAGTTATTAGCACAGTGCATAGTTTTTGATATAGAAATAAATATAAAAATGAGTGGCTCAGTGGATTGAGCACCAGACTGTGAAGTAAGAGGTCGTCCGTTCGATTCCCAGTCAGGGCACATGCCTGGGTTGCAGGACAGGTCGCCAGTAGGGGGCAATCAAGGGGCAACCACACATTGATGTTTCCCTCCCTCTCTTTCTCCTTCCCTTCCCCTCTCTCTAAAAATAAATAAATAAAATATTAAAAAAAAACATATAGTAATCAAGAAAGTGCTATTGGCATGGCAGTAGTTCCATAGGTCAGGAGTCACCAAACAATGATATGTGGGCCAAATCTTATCACCCACCTATTTCTATATATACAGTTTTATTGAAACATAGTCACACTCATTAATCTGCATACTGTCTGGGCCTGCTTTCATTCTACTACAGCAAAGTTAAGTAATTGAGAAGAGATCATATGGCTCACAAAGCTGAAAGTATTTGCTAAACTATCTGATCTTTCATAGAAAAACTTTTCCAATCTCTGCTATAGATCAGTGAAACTAATTTAGTTCCAGGAATAGACCTGCACTTATATGGACAATTGGTTTTCAACAAAGATGCCAAGATAATTCAGTGGGAGAAAGGACAGTCTTTCAGCAGTGACTTTGGAGAAAAACTGGAGCTCTTCATGGCAAAGAAAAAAATGAACCTCTATCCTTATAACACACCATAGACAAAATTAACTTTTAGTTGTACTTAAAAAATAACTATGGTACTGGCATAAAGATGGACATACAGATCAATAGAATAGAATTTAGAGTCCAGAAATTCACCTATACATTTATTTAAGGTGGATTGACTTTTGACAAGGGTGCCATATCATTTAATGGGGAAAGAATAGTTTTTTCAACAAATGATGCTGAGACAATCAGGTACCCACATGCAAAAGAATGACTTTGAATCCCTTACTTCACATCATATACCTAAAAACAGATCAAAGATCTAAATGTAATAGCTAAAACCATAAAGCTCATAGAAAGAAGCATAGGTATAAATATGCATGACCTTGAATTAGGCAATGGTTTTATAGTTATGATACCAAAAGCTGCAGCATTTAAAGAAAAAATGAATTGGACTTCATCAAAATTTAAAACCTTTTTGTGTTAGGAACACTATTAAGAAAGTGAAAAACAACTCAGAATGGAAGAAAATATTTGCAAATCATATATCTGAAAAAGGATCTAATGCTTAGAGTATATAAAGAATTCTTACCATGTGACAATAAGAAAACAAACAACCTAACTAAAAATGAGCAAAGGATTTGAATAGGCATTTCTCCATAGAAGATACTCAAGTGACCAGTAAGTACATGAAAAGACACTCAATGTCATTGGTCCGTAGGCTGAGAAATCCAAGATCAGGGAGTTGGCAGGTGTGGTGTCTGATGAGAACTTGTTTCCTGGTTCACAGGCAGCCGTGTCCTCCCTGTGTCCTCACGTGGCAGAAGGGGCAGGGGAGGCCTCTGGGGTCTCTTGTAAAGGCACCGATCCACTCACGAGGGCTTTGCCTTCATGGCCCCATCGCCTCCCAAATGCCTCACTTCCGAGTAATACCATTTCTGGAGTCAGCTTTCAACATAGGAATTCAGAGGGGGAGAAGAACACAGACATTCAGTCTATGGCATATGACATTTTTGAGAAAACAAAAACAAAAACAAAGAAACCTATAGGAATAGAAAAGTCATCGGTGGTTGCCAGGAGTTGTAGGAGGGGAAACTGTGAAGTAATAACAGCATGACAGAGGTTACTGGGGTGACGCACCTGTCCCATATCCTGACTGTAGGAGCGGTCACACAGATCTGTGCATGGGTTAAAATTCATAGAACTCTACACCATATAAATAATTTACTGAATGGTAATAGAAAAAATAAAATAAAAATTTAAATGGGGCCTATAACGAATTTGCTGGAGGACTAGCTCTAAGGAACTTACTATGTGGCACATAGTAAAAATTCAGTAAAATGCTTAACTGTTATTATTATTACTGTTTCAAACTTTTGGGATTCCCCCCTTAAACCTTAGCTGAACTCAGTAGAACTGTAAACATTTAAAAGGCATGCTCACTGAAGGGGAAACATGGGGTAATACACAGTTGCTGATCGCAGTGGAGTGGAGTGTTACAAGAACAGGACGAGGGCGAGGTCCCAGGGGAAAGGTGGGCTGGAAGGAGAGGCTGGTTGCTGGCTGGGGCCAACTTTCCCAGGCTCCTTCAGGGCATGTGCCGTCCCCGACTGACCCTGACCAAGTACGGCTTCTCTGTTGCGGCAGTTTGCTGGGATGGAGTCGGGCTACGCTTGCTTCTGTGGGAACAACCCCGACTACTGGACGTACGGGGAGGCGGCCAGCACCGAGTGCAACAGCGTCTGCTTCGGGGATCACGCCCAGCCCTGCGGCGGCGACGGCCGGATCATCCTCTTCGACAGTGAGTATGCGCTGGGCCCACTGCTGCTGCAGACACAGGAACCCTTGGGCCGGGGAACAGGCCTGCTCTCCCTCCCTCCCTTCCGTTTATTTCTCCATTCACTTGGCAATACATCTCAGGCACCTTCTGCAGGCCAGGCCCTGACCAGACCCTGAACACGAACACTCAGCCCCCGCCCGCCGTCTAGAAGGGAAGACGTTCACTTAACAAGTAATGGATGACAGTGCGTCCTGTGCTGGAAGAGCCATGGCCTTTTGAGATAATCTAGAAAAGATGACCTTTCCAATTTGATGTGGACAGTGACATAATGATTCAGTGTCAGCTTTAAGATCCTCTTTAAAAAACAAACAAACCTCCTGTTTCAATGTGACCACCAAGCCCTTTTAGTGTTTTCTTAGGCATTTTGGGATCTATATCTTATTGGGATGCAGCTGAGCAGAGCACAAGCTTCGAGTTGTCTTCCAGGCCCAGTACTGAGTGTGCCCTGACCCCCTCCTCTCTGACCCGCCACATGTGTGCAGTGCTGGCAGGCGGCAGCGCACGTTCCCAACGGGGTGTGGGTCCAAGGCCTCGGCCTCTCCAGCAACTTGTCACAACCTCTGGGCCACCCAACCCCTCGTCATAACCCAGCCACGCCCACTCCGTTGGAGTGAGACTTTGGGCGAGCCGCAATTGCACTCTGGTGCCGTAGTCCTAGATTCTGGATGGCAGAAAGGAGAAAGTCACAAATGAGGCAGACACGAGAAAGACTTGAGATCACTAAAACACGCTGCAGAGTCTATAACGTTTTTGTTACACTCTTGACATCTCCACTAGGCAGAGTAGCGCGGTTTTAGACAAAAACGTCATATGGTGTATTAGTTACCTAAGGCAGCCATAACAAATGATCACAAACTGTGTGGCTTAAAACCACAGAAATGTATTCTCTCACAGTCTGGGAGACTAGAAGTCTGAAGTCAAGGTGTCATCGGGTACATGGTCCCTGGGAAGGCTCCAGAGAACAACCCCTCTTTGCTTTTCCCTGGCGTCCAGTCGTTGCCATAATCCTTGGCATTCTTCGGCTTGAGCGGCGTTACTCCCAGTCTCTGCCTTGTCTTCACGCATTCATCTTTGCTCTGTTTGTGTCTGTGTCTCTGTGTCTCTGTGTCTCCCCGTAAGGACCCTCGGCATTGGACTCAGGGCCCACCCTAATCCAGCGCGGCCTCATTTAACTTGATTGCACCGGTAAAGATAAGACCCTATTTTTAAATAAGGTCACATCCACAGACACCAGGCATCAGGACTTGAACATATCTCTTTGGAGAGCGTATGTTTCCGGGAAGGGGAGACCGCCAGTGGCTTCCTGTACATCTCGTTGTCCAGAGACAGACGCTCGGTTTCTGTTAAAGAAAACCGAGCATTTAAAGATAAAGACGGAACCTTAGCTAATGTTAAAGGAAGAATAGTTGGCCAACATGAGGCACCACCATACCTCTATTCAACCTTTCATTTCCAGGGTTCATGGTTGTAAAATCCTCTGCCTTGACACCCTGAACCGGGCAGGTATGTTTCCTGAGCTTACAGATTGTCTGGTATACCCTCAAGTGAAAAAAGGAAGATGAACATAGACTACCACGTAGGTATGGAGCCTTTATAGAAACTGTTACATTAGGCCCTCCAGCAGCCGTCGGAGGAAGGCACTATTTCCTCACTCCGACTGTACTCAGAAGGAGACTCGGGAGTCCTAGGACGGGAGAGGACGACGACTCACTGAGGCTCGCTCTGCCGACGAGCCGTGCGCGGCTCTGGCCAGTAAACGGGAGCAGGGGATGTGGGTTCACTGCCTGTTTTTCCACTTTAAACAGAATATTGCATTAATTTTTGTAGCACTATTCAAGCTCATTTCATTTGTTCTTGCAACATAAAACTCAAACAGTATTATTTAGTGTTCTGATGTACATGAACTAGGGAAATATGAGAAACCCAATTGTATCAAAAGTATTACATTGTGGAAAAAACGAACTCAAATATATCAAAATGCACAAACCACTAGTCTTCCTCTGTTACTGCTTAGAAAGATAGGATTGTTTCTCCATGTATAAAATAGAATCGGGACAATTTAAATTTTTTAAATTTTGCATGCAGAACATGTATAGAGTCTTTATAGAAATGACACGCTTTATAGAAAAAGCATGCTTCCTCCTACTATACACAATCAAACTTCTGTACACAATCAAACTTCTGTGCACAATCAAACTTCTATACACAAGCAAGTATACAATGTTGCATGGACGAAAACAGCAGCTTAGTTAAAGTTTCAGGGGAAAAATCAAATAGGTACATGTAGATTTAAAACCCATTATTCAGGAGAGAGGAATCCGTGAATGAAGAGCCTACTTGCTTGCAGCTTCCACACCCTGCACCCACTGCCGCCTCCATGCCCCCTGGGTTTAGGAGGTGAGCCGTGCGTAGAAGAACACTTGAGTGTTGTGTTAATTTTTAACAGTGGAAAGTCAGTGGTGCTGAGGATATGGAGAAATTACAATCCTCATACAGTGCTGGTGGAAACGTTGAATTGTGCAGCTGCTTTGGAAAACAGTCTGGCAGTCTCTTAAAACATGAACCAGACTTACCTATGACCCAGTTTCCACTCTTAGTTGTATGCCCAAGAGAGCTGAAGACATATGTTCATACAAAAACTTGTACACGAAAGTTTTTAGCAGCATTATTTATTGCAGCCAAAAGTGGCAACAGCCTTCTGTCCATCGGCTGATGAACAGGTAAACAAAATGTGGTGGAGGTAGATCACATTTTACTGCTCTTCACTTTATTGCCCTTCACAGATATTGCCTTTTTTTTTTTACAAATTAAAGGTAAGACTGTTTAAAAACAAAAAGATTGACTTGCTGAAGGCTCAGGTGATGGTTGGCATTTTTTAGCAATAAAGTTTTTAAATTAAGGTATATACTTTTCTTAGACATACTGTAAATTGTATACTTAATTGATTACAGTGTAGTATAAGCATAACCTTTAAATATTTCTTTGAGGGAGAGGAAGGAAGGAAGAAAGAGAGGGAGAGAGATATCGATTGGTTGTCTTGCATGCCCCAACCAGGCACGTGCCCCAACCGGGAATCAAACCGATGACCTCTTGATTCATAGCTGGTGCTCAGTCCACTGAGCCACACCAGCCACGGCAAAACACAGCTTTGATGTGTACTGGGAAACCAAAATCTTTCACGTGGCTGACTTTACTGAGGTATTCACTCTATTGGGGTAGTTGCCTCATTTGGTCTGGAACCAAACCGGCAATGTCTCTGAGGTTCGCCTGTGTATCACACAGGAAATAGTAACGAGCCACAGAAGGAAATGAAGGGCCGACACGTGCTATGACATGCCACACCTTTTGTGGTTCCGTTTGTAGGAAACGCCCAGAACAGCAAATCCATACAGACAGAAAACAGCGATGCTTGTCGAGGGCTGGCGGGAGGGGAGGAATGGGAAGTGACCGCTGAATGGCTACAGGTCTCCTTTCCGGGGTCGTGAAAACCTGCTGGCACTGGATAGCGGTGATGGTCACACAGCGCTGGGAATATGCTAGTACCACTCATCATACACCTCAAAGTGGCTCGGATGGGGAAATCTTTATTAATGAAGAATAGGATGTAGTTTTTATATGATTAGTTTTCATTCATTTAGCACGTTTTTATTGGAGTATCTGCTGTGTGGCAGGTGGAGTTATGTTTACTTTAATGCAGTGCCTCTGCTGGAGTCATCAAATGGAAATAACTTGCTTTACATTCAGTCACATACCGAGTGTCATCTTTGGTACTAGAAGCATATCTAGGAGACAGTGCTGGACCTCACTCAAGGTGCACTAACATGAATTAATTATAATGAAAGTCAGTGCTGTCTATGAGTGCTTGCTGTATGCTAGACTCGGTGCTGGGCGCTTCTGTCTGTTTGATTATGCAATCCTCGCAGCAGCCCCGTTGGTAGGAAACCTGTGCGTCAACAGGCAGGCCAATCCATGCGGGCTAACCAGAGCTGGAGCCAGGCTCCAACCCAGGCTTGCCATGCTTTGGGTGTTTCTATTTTCAGCAGCTTCAATTTCTTTTATTAGCAATAATAAAATAAGTCATAGATTACAGATCCAACTTAACACTTTAAAAGTCTGGGAACAAAGTGTGCACAGTTCTGGTTATCATCAGACATGCCCCTTCTGCAGCTTTCCAGGAGCGGCCCTCTCCGGCGTCCAGCCTCTCAAGGACCGCGGCGTCCGGCGGTCAGATGGCCGCCTGCTCCTGTCTTCAGAGGCCCTGGCGTGTACCGGCTGGCAGGGGCTCCTGACAGTAGCCAACTCTGCAGGCTCATACCCCATAGCTTTCTTTGCAAAGAAAGGTACAAAATACAGCGCTGTAACAATAATCTCAAGTTTCACCTAATGAGAGAGTAAAATAGTTTAAATAGCTCCAGTCCCCACCTCATGGAGATGCTTGTGATCCATTGGATGGATTAGGCTGAGCATTTTGGAGATGGTGCCCATAGACCACCCCATAATTGTGAGGAGATCAGAGAACTCAGATGGTGAGAGAGGGACCAGGTTACAGTCTCTGTCCTAAAGCATCAGGCTCTGCTACCAGTGTGGTTCGACCCTGGTCTCAGCATGTCAGCGAGACCCTCCTGTTCTCTGCTCATTACAAAGGGGCGTTTCCGGTTCCTCATCTCCAGAGGCACTTAGGCTGCATTTGCACCTCAGGAGAGAGACTGTGGAGGCAGCTGGCAGAAGCTGTCTGCTGGGCCAGCTTTGCCACACCAAGTCATTTGTCCTAGACTCCGTGGCCGATTTTTCAGCAAGCTCTCACGAGCGTGGGGAAGTCAGGCTGTGTGCTGTGTGTAAATGCAGCCCTGGCGGAGGCTTCAGAGCCTCTGCTGCCCCCGGAACTTAATGTACTGGATTAACAGAACCAAAAAGACAACCAGACAGGCAGTGGGTTACAGGGACTGTCCAAGCTGTCCTCT